GCATTTACGCATTTAATTCCTTAAAATCGGAAGTAAAGGCGGAACTCTTATTCTCCATTGTTTGATTGTTGATTCCAGTTGATTTATCAGTCGGAGAATTGTCTCAGTGTTCACGCGTTTAATTCCGATGGTTTATCAGTCGGAGAATAAAAATTTAATTCCGATGGTTTATCAGGCAGAACTCTTATTCTCCTTTCACGCATTTAATTCCAATGGTTTAATTCTGATTATTTAAATTTCTTATTTTATTAAATATAGGAAAAAGAAACTTTAGCCGTATTTTTGAATTGTTTTAAAATTTTAATATATTAAAAATAGGGAGGACGTTTGAAAACAATCACATGTGAAATTGTAACACAAAAGAGTACTTATATGACACTCTTTTATTGGATGCACAGAAAAGTCTTCAGGAAATCCGGACTCCAGAAAAGATGCATGAAATGAAATTAAAGGGAATTCAAAGGCCTAGCAGCCAGAGAAAATAATACTATACTATACTATATATAATATTATATGAACTCTCTACGTAGTTTCCCTCTTTCTCTCTCTATGTGATGTGTGGTTTTGAACATATACATATGTGTAAATTCAAAGGCTAAAAGGCTAGCTTAGCTGTCTATTGATCTGAATGACAGTTCAAATTGGCCACATCAACTCTTGTTGTGGTAATTCCTCATTTTGTTTTCACAAGTGCGTATACAAGTTTTAAAGAAGATGAACCAATTAAAGCAAAAACTCTACTCTATTTATGATGGGAAATTGGTTTTTGTTTAGAAATAGGCAATATGGTTAAGACTTAGAGTGGATACAAAATTGTATGTTTTGGTGTGAGTCACGGGGCGAACAATCTTCGCTCTGATTTGATCGTTTTACACAATTAAATAAAAAATAATGTTAGAAAAAAAAAAAAAAACTGTTCTAACTCTAGATTATCTTTTAAAACATGGCAGATTCAGATTCCCTGTATAGCCACATGCTATACATAAGTTCAAATAATTAAAGATAAAAAAAAAAGGAAAAAGATATGAGTTAATCTTATATGATATGATTACTCTCATTTAACTTAATTTTGCATTAAATTCAAGGTAATAGTTTTGTCATGATGACTAGCATATTTGGATCTAATTTTTATGATGACTACCAAAACTAAGTAAACATCCGCTTTTATGACCAAAGTTTCATCTACAAGTGTTACCTTTGGCTAACAGGATGAGTTGTGATTTTTTGTTCCAACCAATTCAGACTCACTTAACTATCAAATAACAGGCTATGTCTTCAACAATAAAAGTGGCCAATTTCTTTAACTGCTGGACTTGCTCCCACTTCATGGTGTCAATAGTATTCGAAAATCTGATTTCAAATTCAAAATTCAATATAATTGAATCAGATTCAAATAATTCAAATATCTAATTGGTCGAATTTGAATATCCTATTCATATCGAATAATTAATCGGATTTAAATTCGGATATGACTTGATTTGATTCAATAAATATCCGAATTCGACCGATTATTTAATTCTTATATATAATATATAAAATATTTAAATGTCTTATATATAATAATTAAATTATATGAATAATTTAGGGAGAATGACCGATAACCTCAGGGTCAGAATTTGTAGGCTCAAAGTACATTTGGGGTAGGTGCCAGCTCGGAATTGATGCCAATTCACGGGTGGGTATGGGTGCATAGAGTGTGATTTTTAGACCTTCTGAATGATTATAGCTTTACAGTGAGAATCAGAAATCTGCATTAGGTCTGTCTGTACTTTTCTGAATAATTTATATATTTATATACTTTATATAAATAAAATATTTATTAATTATATAAAAATAATTAATTAGTCAAATTCGAATATTTAATCAAATTTGAATTCATATATTAATTTTCAAAGTCTGTTAAATATCGAATTTTCCAATCAGATTCGAATTCAGATATTGCTTGGTCCTATTCAAATTTGATCAGTTTACAACTCCTACTCCCACAGTCCCACCCACAGTATCTGTGGCTCAACTGAGTCAAAAGCAGTTTTGGTCACCATTCAGGTCAGGCCCATCTGTGTCTAGTATTCCTGCAGAGAGGTGAGTGATGTCTGACCCATAACAAATTCCTCCACAATTTCTCATCCCACACTGCTGATACCCTCGTCCCTACCAGCAGTGGCAGCATACCTTCCACCACAGAAGACTATGGCCTTCATCCCACTACTCCAACCCTCTTCTTACTCATCATCAGTCACCCATGGGCCCTGTTCCTCACATTCATCGATCATATGAAAACCATGTCCAAATATCATGGCTGCCCATCCGTATACCCATAATCTCTAAACTCCGGTGGTAATGGGATTTAATCCAAGTCTCCACTACAACTCGCCAGAGACACCACTAGAGTCACCAACAGTTAGTGTAGATTATATAATTAATGTATATTGGCATTTTCTAATAGCTAATTTTCCGATGATACACTGTGCTAATATCACATTAGGATGTCTAAATTCATCAATTTAACGAATATGTTGGTTAATTGTAATTAAAAGTATAGTTGTCGATTATAATAAAGTCTAGTCTGATACCTATTTGCCATTGATAAACTGTGCTACTATCATATTATGATGCCTAAATACACCAATTTAATAAATATGTAGGATATTGTAGTTAAAAGTATTGCTGTCAATTATATTAGTCTTATATCGGGTCAGACCTGATAATCCTCGATCACGGTTCATTACTGGTTCACACTACATTTACTTATCAGGTTGAGACAAAGATTTGCCTTCCAATGTGCAGTTAAATGTTGTATGTAGAACCATTTACATGCTTGAAGCTTCTCTCATGGCTACAAAATTTTATCAATGTGCCAAAATCGATTAAATATGAAGCCTTATCAGCCACCATAAATTATTTAATCGTTTCTATTCGAAGATGGCTAATTTCCAAACATCTTTTCAGATTATAGTCCTGTATCGATGCTTTTTTATGTTTTAAAATTGATTTAGAAGGATCAGTTTAATCCGATATAACCCTTATAAAAATGTATCGAAATGCTCCTGACATGATACGTATCGATGCTTTGAACCTTGATCCCACACCACAAGTAAATAACGTAACCAAACAATAAGTTTGGTAGAAGATAATACGAGAGCACAAAAAGTTGAACTTTCTTAAGAAATTTTGAACTTCATAAGAACTTTCCCTCAACGTTTTTTATCTGTCTTATTATCAAACCAAAAACAACCTAAAGGTCTGCATTTCAAAGACTTTATTACATACTCCCACATTGAAGATTGATTGATCCCCAAATCAGCTCAAAGAATTGATTTGCAATTTGAATTGGCAAATGAAAATAACAGATTGATTTGGCCAAGGCCCATCGTAATTAACCATGCCATGCCAAGGCCCTAAGCAGAGAAGAAAATCAAATATTCATTTTCTTCCTGCTCATGACTGCTTTAGTTTGAAAATGGGCAATATATGTTACTTGGCTAAAGCATGAACACATATCAACGCAATATTTGAAAATGGGCAATCGAAGAATCATTTTGGCTCCCAATTCTTATGGCCAAACTGGTCTGAGTCTGATAAAATTGGAAGAAAATAACACAGGGTATCAAAATGACAAAATTTCCCTTACTCATAGTATGAATATATCCATGGTATAATGACTCTACAAAGAAGAATATTTAGCCCAACAGGCCCACAAGCATAAAAGACTCTGATTGCAACATCATTCAATATAGATAAGTTCTTATTATATTATAAAATAATTAAATTTATATTAGTAGAAGTCATCTAATCATGTTCCCCTTTTTTAAAATTAATGCATTCATATGCTCTCACTATCATACATATACATTAATACATATGATGAGACCTCAACCCTTTCCATACGCAAAATATAGCTAGACTAGAGTGATGTTAGTGGATTAGGTCTAATAGGGGGAATGCCATTCCAACAGGAATGGAAATAGGATTTCGATTCTGTTCAACCAAATAATTGGAATCGGAATAGCCCATTCCGATTCTGATTCCAGACCCCTATTCCTGTGAACCTAATGGGGCCTTAGTATCTGACCAGGTGGAAGGGTTTTCATGCAGCATCTTTTATCATTACATGAGTCGAGAGACTTGAAAATCTTCAAAAATCCCCTAAAAAGTTAAAAAGAAATTTAAATGAAGGGATTATAGCAGGTAAATCAATACAGAAGCTAAGAGGTCATTTTTTCCAAACAAATTCATTCAATACAGTTAAATCAATACAGAAGCCCTCCTAAACGGAGCTTTAATAAGGTTGGGTTGGTTAATGTGAACACAGCCCGTGGACATTACAGAAATCAAGATGGAATAATCACTCAATCTGTTTGTCACTTGCATTTTGGTGTTACAGCCCATGTAACAGCTACATGTTCAGCTAATCTGCTCTCCCTTAAGTCGCAACCAACAAGCTTCCGTCCTAACCCAAAAACAGTTTAACTTTAAACTCGCAGTTGAACGTGATTAATTAAAAGTCAATGAAACTGTATGTGCTGTTTCTGATGTTTCAAAAAAGCAAGCACGCGTTCACACAGATAGATACATCATACATGGGATGGTATATTTTTTTTTGTTTCTTGAAACAAAGCACAATTGCATCATACACCACGCATACGGAATCACTGCGCAATTCATGTGGGCCCGTCCTACACGTGTCCCAGATTCTACGTCTGCGATAGTGTTTGTGGTAGGAATAGGACCATAAGTCATATGTGGTCCGAAGCATGTAGACCATCCAAGACATCATGTGGGGCCATGACTGGATCTGGATGGCTCGGATGCTAAGGACCAGCCTTGAGATTGAGACGATGGTTTCGCTTTGCCTTGTTGGTTGTCACTTCATCAGAGTCAGAGACGTGAATGACGGGTTTATTCGAGTGAAAGGGTATTTATGTAATTTCGGCATTTATTGAAGATGCTCTTACGAGTTGCGTCTTGCGTCCCACTGCCACCAAGACAAAAAGGCTTGTCGTTTTTACGGGGACGAAGGCGTCGGCTTCTTCTCAGCGTCTTCGCGTCTGCTTCCTTTTCTGCTTCTTCAAGATTTCTGCTTCAAATTTTTCCTTTTTCTCATTTGGGAACAGAAAGGAAGAAGTGTAGAGCATATAGTCTGTTGGTTTTTGGCTCTCTCTGGTTTCGAGGTTTGATTTGCTGATGAACTGCTAATTGGTTGATATTGAGGTGATTGCGGTTTGAGCATCCATGGGCAATTGCTTGAATTCTTCTGCCAAAGTAGAGAACTCCCAGAGCGTTCAGAACACGTATGGTAAGCTTAGGCTGGTTATTCCATTTCTTGCTTTGTTTTCCCAATTGTGTGAAGTTTGAAGTTTTTTCCTTGGTTTTAGTAATCGGAATTTTTGGTGAGTTTGGTTGTTTTCGATTTTTGGCCCTGCTCCAGTTCTGGTAATTGTGTCCAGAAGCCTTGAAGGGGTGTCTTACTGGGTTAACTGACGTAAGAACTGGTTAGAATAATTGGGTTCTGGCTGTTTTTGAACGTTGATTTCGGGTTTGCAGTCTTTCTAGAAGTTCAGAAATGCTAGGAGGAAGAAAAACTTTTTCCTTTTTTTTCCTTCCTTAAAATTCTTCTGGGTTTACCTTTCGTTAGAAGAGGAGTTACTTTGTTGAGCTTCTATGGGATCTTTATAAATTTGGTTTCGTTTCTGATTAGCCATAGTATTTTCGTGGTTTCAACTCTTTAAGTCTTTAAAAAAAAAATTAGTTTTGGACTTCGGTTTGGAATTTTTGAAAATAGTAAACGTGTAATTTTAACCATCCGACTTATTTATCAGAATTCTGCAGTGGGCTGCAGTGTACTTTTCCGATTTTATTATTCATTTTTCCTTTTTCTCAATTTCCTGAATTTAGAACTTTGGTTGGGAGTTTTGAAATGCATAAGTTGTTATGATATCGTTAATGTCAAAATGTGATCTTATTCAAATTTAGTTGAAAATGTGAGTTTGTGAATCCAGGTCTTCGTAAATCATCATTATGGATTCAGTTTATTTGATTAAGAAATGAACCTTAAGAAGATTTTGTAGTTTTCCTAGTTTTCTTGGTGTTGCATTGACAAGAACAAGGTAGTTTTGATGAATTAGATTAATTTGTAGTGGTAAACTTTCTCCCTCTTGCTCCTTGAAAAGCTTTTCTTTATTAAGTATAATCAAATTGATAGTGAGCCGAAATCTTTTTCAGATCAGGCATATCATCATCCTCAGAACTGTCACCCTGTACTTTGTGGCTGGTGAAACTTATCTCCCCAAACTTTCATTTGTGACAAAGACCTACCCACCCTGAACTTTCAGATTCCAGCACTTCACCCTCACCCCGTTAATGGCCTTCACTGTAAAGATAAAATTATGAAATTTCACTTTCACAGTTATCTATTCTTTTGTCTTTTTCTTTCTGTACATTTATCTAATACTTTATCTGCAAATTTCTGTATTTATGTTGCATTTCTCAATTTCCTTTTTGCTGTATTTTTTCTTTTGCAGTTTTCATTGTGTTCTGTATTGTTCTGCTTTATCTATATTTTCCTCCTTCTCATTGTTATATTTTCTGCATTTTTTTTGTATTTTGTTTTATTTTCCTCTTTTTCTTCATTTATTTTTGTATGCCCTGTGTTTTTTGTAATTTTCTTTTGTTTTCCATATTTTTTCATTGTAATTTTATCAGTTTTCTACAAAATGGTCTCATAAAATGATTAAAGGGCAATTTGGGGCTTTAGAAATGTTTAAACATGGACATGGCAATCACATATTTTCTAAAGCTAACTGACGGAATGCTAATGGCAGGGGCAAAGTGCTTGAATCTAAAATTTCAGGGTGGGGTTTTGTTGCAAATGAAAGTTCTGGGGGGTTAAGCGTCATTACCCCCAAAGTACAGGGTTGCAGTCTGTAATTTACCCACATTTTTAACTCCAAGTCACTGCTACCATATAAAATATGGTTAGTCTTATTAATTGTGCTGGTTGATGACTTGATGTAAATTTGGTACACCATTGGTTATCTTTAGGCTCAGTTTGAAAAGAGTACAAATATAAATATGTGCAATGCAAATACATTCAAAATAATACAAAATACAAAGTTTTGCACTCTACATATTTGTATGGGTAAATTGCTGAAACCTCCCCTGAAGTTTCTGGTTGTTGCCGAAACTTCCCTTGAAGTTTGGTAATTGCAGTCATCTCCCCTGAACTTTTTGACATAGTTTCAAGTAGACCCCCTCTGGTAGAATTTTCTAAAGAAGGCATGAAAATGTCCAAAATACCCATGTGACTACTTTTAACAAAAATGTTTGTTTTCCAATTTTTCTCTTCATATGAATCACTACCTCAAACTCTTCCAATCTCTTTTCTGAAATTGATTTATTTTCCAAATTTGCCCTTCATATCAAACACTCAAAGGTAAAGATGCAACTTTAAATTCTCTTTGTTTTTGTTGTTCATATAGATTCGGGAAACCAGTCTCAATAGTAACTGCATGGGTATTTTGAACATTTTCATCCTTTTTTTAGAAGATTCTACTAGAGGGGGTCTACTTGCAATTGTATTAGAAAGTTCAGGGGAGTTTATTGCAATTACTAAACTTCAGGGGAGGTTTCAGCAACGGTCAGAAACTTTAGGGGAGGTTTCATTAATTTACCCTATTTGTATTTGTACTCCTTCCAAACTGAGCCTTATGGACATATTAAGAGAACCAATTAATGAATTATCAGTTATGGTTATTATTGATGGTTGCCATATATTTTTCGATATATCATTAATGAATTCTCAATTATAAATACTTTTGGTAAAAATTTTAAATATTAATTTTTCGTTTTTAATTTTTCCATTTTTTAATTGAGTGTTTACATATATTGTGGGAAGCGTGCCTCCCCTCCCATTGCTAATGAAAAAATTGTCTTACAGAAGTCTCATTGTCATTCCAAAGGATGGTACATTTAGTAGTTTCTTAATAAATTGCTACCCTATTAATTTGGTTTATTATTCTTTGTTATTCATTGTCAGTCCATGCAACAGTTCTAGTTCCTTTTGTAATTAAGTATGGAAAGTCTGATTTTCCATTTCTCAGTACTATTAAGAACTGTCACATGTTTGATCTATTATTAATGTGTCATCAACTTTTGTTATCATAAAAAATTGTTAATTGATTTCTACTTTGTTGTTTTATTTTGAGTTTTACCTATTTCTCCCTTTTAACTTTCAGCAACTTCAAAAGTTACCAGTAAAACTAGCTTGTCTTCAGCTACTTCCACTCTGACAGTTGCATCTCACAGTCAAAAGAGTACCACTGAAAGTCTTCCTACTCCTAGATCTGAAGGCGAGATATTGTCATCTCCAAATTTGAAAGCCTTCTCTTTTACTGAGCTAAAGAATGCCACTAGAAACTTCCGTCCTGATAGTCTCCTTGGAGAAGGAGGATTTGGTTATGTTTACAAAGGATGGATTGATGAGCAAACCCTTGCTGCTGCAAGGCCTGGTTCTGGAATGGTTGTTGCTGTAAAGAAGCTTAAGCCAGAAGGTTTCCAAGGCCACAAGGAGTGGTTGGTAGGTTTCCTCATCGAAAGTAATTTTTGATCTAGTTTTCTCTTCCTTGTTTCATTATGTCTATACTAATAGCTGATTGATTGCAGACAGAAGTTAACTATCTTGGCCAACTTCATCATCCTAATTTGGTTAAGCTTATTGGTTACTGCTTGGAAGGGGAGAACAGGCTTTTGGTCTATGAGTTCATGCCAAAAGGCAGCTTGGAAAATCATCTATTTAGACGTAAGAATCTGTTTTTCCCCTCTCATTTTTATGCTTTTATGAGCATGGGGTTGCATTCCTAACATTTCCTCATATTTCATTTGCATCAGTTTCCTCATCATCTTCCTTGCACTTTACATTTTTTGCGTCATTTATGGTCAGTTTGTATTTTTTTTATTTAGATTCCATATCCTATTTACCCTTCATTTCCAGGCATAGTTGCATGCTTTGTAGATGTTGATTATAATTCCATCCATTTTCATTTTCGCAAGAAAATTGGTAAATGACATAGAAGATATCAACCTTAAATGTACAATCACTTCTCTGATCTTCACTGAGGAGGTTTTTAAAGTTTAATTGAATCAGAGGGTGCTGACTCTATTTTATAAGATGTTCTATGGTCTCTTTCAATTGTTTATTAGATCCTTCTTAGATAACCATTTTCTAGCTTATGCCTGAAAAGAGCTGTATTTATGATTTTGAGCTAAAAAAATGTCTTTTCTTTTATTGCAGGAGGAGCCCAGCCTTTATCTTGGGCAATAAGGATCAAGGTCGCCATAAGTGCTGCTAGAGGGCTTTCTTTCTTGCATGATGCTGAATCTCAAGTTATATATAGGGATTTCAAGGCTTCCAATATACTTTTAGATGCGGTAGGATGCAAATTACTGTTGTGTCATTTAAGATGTATCCTTTTCATTGAAATTTCCTAAAATTTATCATGTTTTTACTGGTGCAGGAATTTAATGCAAAACTTTCAGACTTTGGCCTGGCAAAAGCAGGCCCTACTGGTGACAGGACTCATGTTTCTACCCAAGTCATGGGCACTCATGGTTATGCAGCACCGGAATATGTTGCCACAGGTTCATTCATCACTCTTGAAATCATAAAATAAATGCTTTTTTTTCACAACTTATCCTTGCATTTAATTTAAAGCCTTCACATTGATTTTGACAGTGATAGAGGCCTCTTCTTTTAGGTTTCCTGTTTTTTTTTTCTCTGATTTAATTTCTTAAGCTATCATTGTCTTTATGACTGAAAGTATCAGGAAGTTTTGGAAACAAAATATCAGTTGGATACACAAATGTGTTTTGGACATAAGGCCTCCTACAAGCTGGATGTGATGGCAGTTTCTCTAAAATAAACTGTTTTAATATTTTGTCCCATCTTTCCAAGAATAAATTAAGAATAACAAGAAGCTATTAAAGAAGACCTTCCCCACTCCCTGCCCTTTGGTGTTTCTGTAGACTTCACATCTGCTGCAATCAACTCCCTTGTGGCTCTCCAATGAAGCATGACACACCGGCAATAGAACTAAAATGCAATTTATGCAATATTTTGAATTATCTCCACCACTGATCTATCCATTTGGAGTTGCAAGGGAGTGCTCTGGCCATGGTTGCAGCTGATATGTTCTCATTTCTGTAGTCCTTCTATGGAGTATATAGGAACTTTACCAGTGAATCAATCTCCTGAAAACCAGTATATCTTATTATTCTGATGAGTAACACTTGAACCACAAACAGGTCGGCTGTCTGCAAAGAGTGATGTTTACAGCTTTGGGGTTGTGCTGTTGGAATTGTTGACTGGGCGTCGTGCCGTTGATAAATCAAAATCTGGTGTGGAGCAGAACCTTGTGGACTGGGCAAAGCCATATTTGGGAGACAAGCGCAAATTGTTCCGGATCATGGACACCAAGTTAGAGGGCCAGTATCCCCAGAAAGGAGCCTATACAGCTGCCACACTTGCTTCACAATGCCTCAGCACAGAAGCTAAAGTTCGGCCACGCATGTCTGTGGTTTTAGCAACATTGGAGCAGCTCCAAACCCCACACAACACCAACAAAAATTCCCGACCAGTACAGCAAACAGTCTCCAATTCTGTCCGCAGGTCTCCATTAAGACACCATCATTCACCAATGAATCTCACACCTAGTGCTTCCCCATTGCCATCCCACCGGTAATCGCCATGTCTATGCTGAGCAGTTCTGTCTGGCCTTCTTGTAAATTATTTTGTTGCACATTTGTACTGTAATTCATGGAAATGATATAGGCTTGTGGCTTGGCAAAATAATGTATTTGATAGGTTTTACATTACAAAGGAAATATATTATTGATTTTGATAATGTTCTTTTATGAATTTCATGGCGCCTATGTCTATAACAAGTTATAATTTTGGTTGTGTTTGGATATGTTTTCACTTTTGCACTTTCAAAGCCCAACATCAAATCATGTTTTGAGCTATTTTTGGGCCTTTTTTACTCTGTATTTTGTATTTATATAAATAATTTGTTAAAATTTGTATTTTGTATCATGTAAGTAGTTTTCTTTCAATAGCAAAAAGAACGTTAGCAGGTTACATGCTAGCAGAAGCACATTAGAACATTTTGGTGAGCACGAATTTCAAATTTTGGTTGTGTGTTTTTATCAAAGCAGTCACAACCAGGTGCAAATATTATTTTGGCCTTGTTTGTGCACAGTGTAATTTCATTTGCATGTGCAAAAGTATAAACATGCAAAAGGTTGAGTGCAATTCTGGTTTGTTTGTTTATTTGTATTTTGTATTTTACTTTTTTTTTTTTTTGTTTGTAGTGCAAGTGAAACAGAGTTTTCATTCTTCTTAGGTGGTGTTGCAATCGTTGTATGGTGTTTCCTTTTAGCATCCATGTGTGTTGTAGGCATTTTGGTTGGGTAAATTCAAGTATGAATATTTGTACTATGAATCAAATACAAACATTGAGACTTCAACCCGTAACAATATCAAATACAGCCTTATTTGCACTCCCATGCATTTGTAATAGTGCAAACGAAATTGCACTGCAAAAAATTGTACCAATAAAAAAAATGGAGATTGGTGTCCCTTGAGACACTGCTCTTTTTCTCTACAAGACAGAAAATAACATATCTGCACCACTTTTTTGTTTTTTGTTTTTTTTTTCCTTCTATAAATACTCGACGCTTCACACAATACTACCTCAGCTTACCATAGCAAATTTCAACAATTCATGGGGATAGAGTTGTGCCATTCAGCTTTAAAGGGAAAAGAAGGAAGAAATTTCAGTTTTTACACCAATGTGACAGCCAAAATGTGAGGTATTGGAATACGACATCAACATATAACTAACTGTCAGCCTTTTCTATGTTGTTTTGACATTTAGAGCCTTTTCATCAAAACACATATGCTCTCTACCAGTTATTACCAAGTTATGGCCACAAGATCTCCTTCTGGCCGGTTTGAAATTTCCTCCTCCAAACCTTGACGCACAACAGGATCAATGAGAGTGGATTGAATTGTAAGTCTTGGATGAAAGATCCTGATATAGACTCCAATCTGGAAACCTTGGTACCTGTCAAATCAGGATTGCTTTCTTTCTTGGGCAGAAAATGCAGCACAGGGATTGGAAAGAAACCTTGCACAATGTCAAACTAATCAGGAATACGTTATGTTAGTAGAAAGGAAAAAACAAGGCTAATTCAATGCCCTACCCATGACAAGGATGTCCAGCTTTGTTGCGTAGTGTGTCTTTTCATGGGTCATATGGAAGAAATTGATCCCATGTTTTCCCCCCATAGGGTGGCAAAGGTCCAATTGAATTTGTCTTAATTTGATTTTTACCATTATTATATTGTAATTTGTTTGGGTACTTTTTTCAGAATTGTGGTTAGTTTTTTGAGTTAAACAAAGAGAAATCTTGTTTTATCACACACAGAAAAATGAGCGTCTCCCAAGTAATTTGATCAAGCAAGTTACAAATTAAGGACTTTTGATATATCCTCTCTTGAAGAAAATTTAAAACAAAATTGAAGGTCGAAAGGCAGAATTGTTAAATAGTGGAGGTGAAATAATTTTGATTAAGTATGTTTTACAGAGTAAATTTTAAGGATTTATCTCCTTTTTGCAGTCAAAATGCTCCTATGAATACCAAAAAGGAGATAAGTCCTCAAAACAAAGAATGCCAAAATGATAAGCCACGAAGAAGCCAGCGTATTCTTCGGCCAAATCCACGGTTCATGGACTAAGTCATGGCAGCAACAACCAGTCTTTAGTTGTCGGTTATCTCTACTTCCACTAGATTTATGGATTCCTATTTTCTAACAAGTTATTTTGGTTATGTACTTGGTGGTATTCTAGGATGTAAATACTCGTAGTAGTGGTCTGATTTTTAGGAAGAAGTTGTCAGTTATTCCTTGTATATATTTCCCTTTGATGAATGAAAGAGGGCAGAGAAAATTTATCCCAAAACCTTGAGGTCTGTTCTCACCCTAAGAGAGCAATTTACTTCTTGCGCTTCTGACTGGGACCTATCACAGCCTTAGATTACTTGAAGGTCAAGGTATATGGGTTGAGCTTTATCATCATCATCGATGCCTTATACCAACTATATGGGGTCGTTGTATATGGGCTAAGCTTATTCACTCTAAATGCATTACATCAACACCAATTTCTCTTGTGACTAGAACAATATCATGTTTGAATTCTGGAAGGAAATGTTAGAGCTCAAGCATGTAGTGATTAACCATGGTGAATGGATTATCGGAGAGGGAGAAATGTCATTTTGGCACTATAATTGGAATGGAGCTTGGTCCTTCGATTTATGAGAAAGAGAACTCTGAAGTTGATGGCTTAGGAAAAGTTTTGTGCGCAGATGATTTGTGGTCTGTTCTCGCTGTGTTTGGTTTGAAAGAAAAGGTGGGGAATACAGGTTTCCCTACCTTCCTCCCCCCATACCTTTTCTCTCAAACCAAACACAGCGTTCAGGACAGGAATTATATCTATATTCATCTTAAGCTTTGTGCGTATATTAGAGAAAGATTTGGATCGGCTAATCTTGAAAGAGAACAGTAATGGATCCTTTACTATGTTTTCTGCCTAGAATCTTGTTAGGGATAAACATCCTTTTGTTGGTTGGTATAAATTTGTTTGGAAACGATTTCTCATAGGCTCTATTGAAAAGAGTATAAATACAAATATGTGTATTATACATCCGTACAAAATTACGGAGGGTAATAGTGTGGGTTCAGGGAGGTTATGTAAATTTTAAACCCTATTCGCCTCACTAAACCCCCAACCCATATCTATTCCAAACCCTTAGTGGGTACCCCTACTGTTTGAAAATTAACTGATGCTACTCCTACTGTTTCTGACAATTGACTAATTCTACCCTTACCTTGGTATTCCATCAAACACGTGAGACTACATAACATTTAAAATTCTTTTAAAACCCAATATTACCCCCTCCCTCGTCCCCTTTCTCCTCAAACCTCCAGTCTCTTCTCTCTTACTTCTCTCTATTTTTCTCTCTTACCTAAGGTCTTATAGGTGTAATCGCTCAGAGGAGCAAATCTGGATTTTGATGGCTGACGGAGGGGCCAGAGGCTACTGATCGAGACGACATTGTTTGGGCTTGAAAAGAATTTTCAAAATAAAATAAAACTCCGAACCCTCTTGCTTTGTGAGATTAGCCGGAGGCCACCATTGCGCCCACGGCTCTTCTCACGACTGGACAGGTGAACCAAATTGAGAAGCTGAAAGCGTTTATGCCAATAGGGTAAAATCCACAGGTGAACCATTTGTCTAGAGAGGTAAGGAAATCCAAGGCATAATCTTCAACTGGTAGAGAGGAACCTCTGTTTAGGGAATTCTGAGGTGTTGAAGTTGCAAAAGTGGAGAGAAGGAATATAAGGAAGAGAAGAGAAGGGATAAACCGAGAACAACAAATCAGGTTGCTCATGCTTGAAGTAGTGACGAGAAATTCTAGTTTAATCTGAGCACAGGCATAGAGTTGGGGCAGATCCTCTCTGTCCAGTTGTAAGAACCACAAGCACAGCGGTGGCCTCCGACTAAACTCACGAAGCACCGCACCCCTAACCTTCCAATGATCAGCTCTAAAGAAACCAGTAATGATCGTTTCTTTCGTAAGAAAGAGGACCAAGCTGGGGAATCTCTCTCTCTCCCCATCTTTATCCGGCTCCTGTTTCTCTGTCTCAACACCATCACTGCTGCAACTTCAAGTAGCAGTGGCATTTTTTTGCATGCTCCCCCAGTCTCTCTCTGCTCATCTTCACGGACAAGCTCCCCCTTACACCATTGACGAAGGGCAAAGAGGTTCTGCTACCGTTTCTAATCTTTGTTTGAGATCAGAAAGTAGTTTTTCTAGGTTCTGCTACCATTTCTAATCTGGGTTTAAGATTAGAAAGTAGTTTTTCTGTTCTGCTACCATTTCTAATCTGGGTTTAAGATTAGAAAGTAGTCTTTTCTCTCAGATCTCTGCTACCGTTAATATCTTCAATGACTCTCATTGGGGTTATCTCAGATCTGGGTTCAGATACAAGACAATCATTTATTTTTTTCTTTCAGATCTCCACTATTGTCGATCTCTCCAGTGGCTCCATCCAGTTGAATTTAAGGGTAAAACAATCATCTTACATTTTTTGTTAAACATAGCCGACCCTTGTAATATTTAGACAATTGTTAGAAACATCAAGGATAGCACTAGTCAATTTTCATAAGGGTACACTTAATCAATTAACTAAACCATAAGGATAGTTTAAGAAATTTACCTTATTCTTTATATAGCTTCTTTTATATATTTACATGGATAATTAAGTTGTACTTACCATTTTTATGCATCTTAACTATTAGTCTATTACACACAAAGATTAAAGTAGCGGTATCGAGTATCATATCGGACCACTTGAATATGGATACAGATACACTTTGGAAATGCATGTATACGAATGAAAAAATATGGATACACCAAAAAATGCATATAAATTCTATAAATATAATAATAGTAGTTTTAAGATCAAAATAGCCATAATTAATGTATAGATACATAGAAAATGTATATTTTAAAGGTATATGTGAAGAAATATATTACAATTAATATAGAAGGATGCATAAAAATCATAAAATTTTATTGATATTGTATCAATCAAGAATCCCGGAACATTATATATATATATATACATATATATATATTTAAAATTTAATACATGCACAAAGCTATTATTGTGTTATTTTCTATTGAATTTCAAGGCACAAAACATACGCAACTATTATATGTGAATTATTATGTCGATTATTTTTTATTTTACTATTTTTAGTTTTTAATATTAACTGAAAGACAACTAAAAATTAATTCTCAAATTTTTAGTTAACAATGTTTTTATTTTTGTAAACAATAAACACATTATTATAAAATGTAATTAAAATTTTATAATAATATATAATATTAACTTAAAATATATCAAATATATTAAATTTTCTAAGATGCACATCATATGCAAATTCATAATTTTTAACTGCTAAAATAATTATTTCATTATTAATATTTTTATTTCCATAAATTTTGAGATAAAAAATCATTTGTTGATATAAATGTAGATTAATGGATTTGACAAATTCAATTTATATTACATTCTTAAGTTTTTTGTAAATAATGTTTTTTTATAAATAATATATACTCTTTTATTTTGTTCAAATTAAAATATTAATTAATAATTTATAAAATTTGAAGATACATGTCATGTTCAAATTTATAAATATTAAGTACTAAAGTAATTATTCTATTATTAATATCTTTTTTCGTATAAATTTCTTGAGATTAAACGAATTTTTGATATAAATGTGGATTTAAAAAATTATTTATTCTATTAGTTTACAAAATATTCAGAGGATACCATATCCCGTATCCCCTCTAACCGATATCAATACGATACGCCCCGTATTGGACGTATCGATATTTAAATCCTTGATTACACCTGGCATTTCCCAAGCGTACCTGATGCATCTCTTAAAATTGCGTTCCAAAAAACTTATTGCCATAGTGATTCTTTGAGCCTTTAACATAATAAAATTCTCGATTCACAACTCTCTTATCTTTTAGAATTCCATCCATCCCTCAAAGCTAAAATGAAAATGAACCACAAAAAAAAAAAACAGCGGAGATTAAAGGAGAAGAGACCAGGACTACGGATAAGATGTTGATGCAAGACGAGCCCTGAGAAGCTGCCTTAATTGATCGGGGTTGTGCCACCATGTTGGTGTGTTAAGGATTTCACGTTCCAACCAATCCTCCTGCAGCACATCCTTTCTTGTCAGATGGCGATAGAACCTCCGCCACTTGTACATGGAACGCCTTAGACGAACACTCTTCTTTCGCCAAAATATATACTTGAGGTAGTCAGTTGCCAATCGAGTCATCTCCTCACCATTGATTATGTACATATACTGCAAAGACAAATACAAGAGGTGAGACCTGAGGTTTTGTGGCAAATACCAGTAATATTTACCGCACCAAGCCATGTATTGGTAAAAGATATTTAAAAAATATAAAGATATGGCCCGTATATTGTGAACTGTACATTGGTGATACACATCTGAAAAAATATCCTGATGGAAATTATTCAAATTGGATACCCAATTATCGTTCCTACCAAAAATTGAAGATCTGCAACTACAATGAAAGAAAAAAACAGGTTGTAACCTATGTTATTTCCGTTTCTTTCTTTCTTCACAGTATCTTTTTGTGCCCCTACTTTTCCTTTTAGGTCCTGTTCGCTTTTTGGTAAGTTGTTTATCCAGGTAAATGGAGTTACCTGGCTAAGTTTTTCCTGGAAAACACTTACCCAGATAAGTGCATTTACCTTCTCATGTAAATAAGGCAATGACCATTTTAGCCATAAAAATTCATTATTAAAAGGGGCATTTTGTCCCATTCAAGTGTAGGAAACTTTCCCCCTAGGTGGGAAAGTTATTTACCCACCTAGGAGATGGGTATCACTTACCCAGGTAAGTAATACCCAGGAAAATAAACTTTCCCTGGTCCCCACATAAATCTGAAAAAAGAACATGGGATTCTTGGTCAATGGTAACCAAAATCCCATTGACCAACTTTCCCCCCTCTCAAAATCCGAAAAAAGAACACCCCCTTAGTAGAATGCAATGGACTTACAGACCTTTCGACCCTCCACTTTTATCTTTTATTGTTAATTTTTATGAACTCCTAATTACTCTTAACTAATTAAAATTATTCTTCACTTCCCCAACCGTAAATGCTTGTATAGATCATCTCAGAGTTGATGAAAACATTTGCAGCCCTGCAATGAATATGTTGAATACACTACAACATTGAAAGAGCACAGTGATCAGATACTAATTTAGACTTAGAAAGGTAAATTGTAGAACATGAGAAATAAAAGATGAATCATTAGCAACAATGTTACCAGAAAAATAAAGCCAATAGTTGCTAAGGTCACTTGCAATAGTTCATCCAAAATCCCACCGAAGCCTTCATCCTCTGAACCACCAGAACCATCACCACCACCACTTGGAGGACTCCCTGCACCACCTCCAGTATCACCAAATTCTTGTTCTCGCATCTGCTTACGCAAAACATCTTGTACTGACCGCTCCTTTCCGAAACCTCTTATTGCATTCTCAATTGCTTTCCATGGAGAATCCTAAAGATTGCATTCCAGCCAAATTGGAAGAGTTTTCCAAGTAAGATGTTTGTAATATTGGAAAAGATTCTGCATCTTGTCAAATTGAGATACAAACTGGTTTATCAATAACCAGACCATAATACCTGGATATCTATACAAGGATGCCATATCATGTTGGTGTTAGTTTAAATTCCAAATCTGACACCATGTTTGGCTGTGTCCTTGTAAATTCAGCTAACATGAGAACCATTAATTTGTATTAATATGTTTTAAATCTAGTCATGATGCTATGACAACTGAGGTAAGGGAAAGGATGAGTACAAAAAAAACTAACTTGTTATATTATTGCATTCATGTTTTTTAACAACCAAGTTGTCAGCAAAGTAACCCATGTGAATGCAAAGATGAGGAATCTGCACAAAATGCCATTGTAGCCTAAAAATAAAATCAAACATGTGATGATAGCCATTATCATACTACTTTTTTGATGAATCATTATCATACTACTTCAAATGATCAATATTGTTAGTTACCACATTCAACTCCACACAAAGAAATAGTACAAGGAAGGTCCAGTAGTCACCCAAGAGAAGAAAAATACACTTACCTCCCACACCCTCCAGCGTATACATCATTCCAATAAAAGAAAAGACCTAACAAAGCCAACCCACCCGAACAAACTTTAGAGAAAAAAAAAGGAAAAGAAAACACACAACCTTTACACAAGCCCGCAAACCAACAGCCTGGAAAAAAAAGATCAAAACAGTATCTCCCTACTTTGAAAATTTTCTAGATTTCATCTCTTTCTTATTTGGTCCAAGCCCAAAGAAACCCCCTTTTAATCTCATGAAAACATTTGAGACCAAAACATTTTTTCAATTTTTTTTTTTTACTCATGAATCTTCTAACTGCAAGATTAGCCTTCCTGACCTCGAAGATAACCATAAATTCATCATTAATCCTTTCCAATTCCAAAACCGTGTTCTTCTCAAATAGCTTATCTAGAATCAATATTTCATCCTTTTCAATAGCAGCTCCTGCATTTCCAAATAAACTCTTATCTACTGCAACCGTCTTCAGAATCTAAGTGGTTTTATTATAGATCTGCATCAGTTAACCTTTTTTTATCAATAGTCTACATCAGTTAACCTCAAAGGCAATGGACATTTTTCTTCCAATTTTTTTTCTAGAAGCACTAGAACTCCTCAAAACGAAAATCACCCATTCTATCATGATCCATGAAGATGAAACATACCCATGCACCAAAGCAAATTCCACCAGATATCTTTTTTTTTATGAATAATTAGAATTTTATTAAAATTCTTAAAGTAAGGACATTACAATTATCCCTTAGAGAGGCACGAGCTGCTACCTCTCATACAAAGAAAAAACGTATTACAACTGTGTCCTGAATAAACTAGACCTGTTCACCCCTTGTTTAGCCAAAGCATCCACCACCCCATTTGCTGATCTTCTCACCCATATGCTTAAATTCATATTCCTGGTTAGCCAAGTAAATTTTTTCATTTCACCCCTGTAACACCAAATTATAGACTCAGGATTCCTTAGCCATTCTACCAATAGTTTTGAATCCCCTTCTATCACCACATTTGTCAAGTTTAGCTCACTAACTATCTGCACCCCTTGAATTGCAGCAAGCAGTTCAGCTTTAACAGAGTCCCCCATACCCACAGGACCAGAAAACAGTGCTATAAGTTTACCTTCTCCATCTCTCACCACCCCTCCAATTCCACAAGGGCCTGGATAACCTCGGCAACTCCCATCAAAATTCAGTTTAACAAAACCTTCAACCGGAGGTGTCCAGGCCATCTCCACTCTATCCTTCCCCTTAGAGCTTTTAGCAACTATCTCCCAATTCCTCCAAATGTCGTCAAAGGAGAACTGGGAGAACAACTCCAGAGTCTTTATCCAGTGGATCACTCTAACCATCACACAAATCCTGATTTCTTCCTTGCTTCTCTCCTTCTCTAAGAAGATTCTTGCATTTCTTTCTTCTCAAATGGTCCAAATCAAAGCTGCTTTGACACATCTCCACATTATCCTCCCTCTCTTCTTTGGCCAAGTAAAACAGGAGGGGTCAAATAACATAGTAACCTCCGTAGGCAACATCCACCTACACCCAAACAAAGAAGAAAACCAAAGCCAAAAATCTGCAACAAAGGGGCAGGAAATCAGTAAGTGGCAACAACTCTCATTAGTGGATTTGCATAAGACACACCAGTTTGGGGAGAGGCAGGAGTTAGGTCTTCTCTTCTGAAGCAAGTCCATAGTATTTATCTTCCCATGAACTACTTCCCAACATAAGGCTCTTACCTTGGTTGGAATGGGTCTACCCAAAACTCTTTGATGGGAAAGGAAAACTGAGGAATCACAAAAGGTTTTGAACAAAGAAGCACGAGATAGCAAACCCTTAGGGTTGGGGGCCCAAATCCGCTTATCAGGTTTACCAGGTTCCAAAAAAACATTTTCAAGGAGTTGTAGAAGGTCCGAACAAGCCAAAATTTCATTGTCCCTAAGACCTCTACGTTATCCAAAGTTCCAACTGAGGTCCACAGGATTTGAAGGGGAAACAACAAACCTTGACACAAGCTCATTTTTGTACAAAGAAACAGAGTATAATGAGGGAAAAAGTTCCATTACCGGACAAGAACTGAGCCAAATATCCTCCCAAAATTTAATAGAAAACCCAGAGCAAACATCATACCTCACAAAGTAGAGAAAGTGAGGTAGGATATTGTGAATAGCTTTCCAAGGCGAGGCTGGGGTAGCTCTATTGGATACACCTACATCCCAACCATTTCCCAACCTTCCACGTATGCTGGCTATTACTTCATGCCACAGTCTATCCCTTTCCACCGGCCACCTCCAAAGCCATTTCCTTAACAATGCCTTATTCTTTTTGTCCATGCTACCAATACCCAATCCTCCTTATTTGAAAATATGTGGTTACTCCACCCAGGGTTTACTAACAAAGTGAGAGAGTGGTGGTATGAGTGTAACCCATTGATGGAATGGGAGGGGATGAAATTCCATAAGAAACTTCAATTTTTGAAAGTAAAAATCAAGGAGTGTAATCTGATGGAGTTTGGGAAGATAGAAAAAAGAAAGGGAGATCTATTGGATAAGATTGAAAGCCTTGACTCTAAAGAAGAAAGGGGAGAACTTGGAGAGGAAGACAATGAGCTCAGGAGAGATTTAAGA